TATGAAGTTCGGAGAAAATTATTTCCTTAAGTACCAAAATTTTTGTTAGAAGCAAAAGTATGATATATAAATGTAGAACTGATTATTTTTAAAAGGGTGAGCAATTTTGTTTCATGGATTCTGCTGATAGTATTCCAATTTTTACGACTGCTTGTAACTTGTCACTATTAAATAATGCGTAACATGTATTTTCTGATGTTACTTTTTCATACGTGCCTAAACATTTCTTACAAATTTATACGATAGATGTATACATAAACGGATTTTATCTTCCAATTATATATGTTTTTATGRAAACAAATCTTTAACGAGCTTGTATTGCCATTTGGTTAAAAATAAAACAGTTATTTTTTCAATTCCATTAAAAACTTTTGCACATTGAAAAWATTAATTTAGACTGAGATAATAATTAATACCCATAATGCAGTATTAGAATTTAGAAATATTCGAAAACTGTTTAATATCAGGTTGTCGTTTTCATTTGAGTCAAGCCTGGTTTTATTGGATATTAAGTGAAAAAGAATTGTATAAGTATTACATGGAAAAAACCGATGTRTATACAAATGGCTTTTAAAGTTTTTTTGGTCTTAATTGTAAAATATCTAATGAAGTTAGAAATGGTTTTGTTGCTCTAATGTCAGATACACCTGTCCACGTATTTGAAACATTTACRGATTACATTATCAAGATTTTCATTGATGAATATAGTTCKTTTCCGGCATACTTGTGGGCAGAAATTCCATCATCTGATCCTAGGACTAAAAATGGGCCCTAAAAATTTCATCGARACTTTAAGGACTTTAAGGTCTTTATGGTCTTTAACAGCCTTGGACGATTTTGGAGGATAATGAGGAACGTTTCCTAGTGGTGTCTTCTGGCGGCTCCGGGTAATGCCAAATTGATATAAAAAATATTGTATCATAATAATTATTAGTGAGATATTAGAAAATCTTGGTATATWATTTTTATCTGGACAGAGTTTATAATTACTCTCAACTTTTTTTTCTGTATTACCGAGAACGAGGRAGAGGGGACTGCTGTTAGCATTGCTCCCCCCAAAATAATTACTCTCAATTGTACGTGGAGCTTTTGCATCAGGTTGATGTATTTAAACAACAATTTAATTAATGCTGTAATTTGTTGATTTATATCATTAGTGAAACTGTACTGAGTGTAAAAAAATAATATTATTAAACATAAGATAAAAATTCAATTTTTGATAAATTAATAGTTCAATCAATGGAAAAAAAAGTATTAATTATAATTAGGGTGTAAATAAACTAATTTAAGAAACCAATAATTTTTCACTTGTAAACCCATTATGAACTATGTTTAAATTTGGCTATTATTACAAAGAAAAAAAAACGGAGTTATTTATTTTATAAACAAATATGCTGATGTAGTGATGTGATAATTGTTTATAAAAATAGTTTCTAAACTTGGCCAGAAGTTTATTAGCATAATACCTAAACAGTTTGTTTTGCTCARTAAACCTAACAAYTGAACTATACTTACAAATGCCGCTTGTAATAGTTAAAACTTGTTAAAGAATTTTAAATCCATGCATAATTTACTCTATATTTTTGCACCTGGTATTTTCATTSATATTATTTTTGGAGTTTTTTACTCAACAATTAGTATACATGGTGAATTACATAAAAAATATATAATTATTATCTTTGCTATATTATACCCTATTTTTTCAGCCTGACAAGTCTAATCTGATAATGATTATCATAATATCTTACCAACTATWTTATTCGTATTGGGGTTTTCTAAATTTACTCTGAATGTTCATGTAAAATATATTTATACAATCATTTATTATKTAGGAAAATTTGGAAGACGCGCAATGTTAAAATGTTAATATTTCTCGATATGCATTCATAGTGACCGATTAAACAAACTTACAGTTTTAATTTTTTATGAACAGTCATCGAAAAATATATCTACTATTTCAATGTTAAAACATAGTTTCCTGTATTAACGTAGAGTATTTTGAAAATCGTAATATAATATTAGTGTACCAATTTCTCCAGCATCTGGTTATATACTTATACAAACTATATAAATTATTATTATCAACAAAACACTGCAAAAATGAGTACAAAGTTATCCGGTAATGGTGTAGTGGAACCTATTCATTCGAAAAAAAAAGACATGCAACAATATTTTACACCATGTGAAGCGTACAAATTAAACCGGAAGAATGAAAACGAAAAGCAGAAATCTAAGATAACCGATGAAAGCTCCAAACATCAACCGCGCAGTGATTTGGATCAGTACAAATTACAGAAGAAAATATGTAAGCTGGACAAATTAGGTAAATCGATTCAGTCTTTACCGGGCAAACGGGTACTGGATAGAAACACGTACAGTCGGTTAAAAAATGCTGCTGTGGTGGTAACTATGAAAGAACGGCAAATGGCTATTCAACAGCACATTGCCAACGAAGAACGGCTTAAGGCTGAAAGCGAAGCTAGGAAAGAACAGTTACAAAAATTTAACATGTTTAAGACTAAAGGGCCAAAACTTGCTCAGGTCAGCAATATTTGCCACACATTTTTAATTATATAGTAATATTATGATCATTAAATTTTTTTTAAATTTTTTTATTAGGTAGGTACTAGTATAGAAACTACCTACTTCATAACTTTATTTTTCTTATTTTTGTTTCCGTTATAAATGCTTATAATAATCTTCTCTAAATGAGTTTTATATTAAATAGTTAGATGAAGAAGCTAACAAAAAGACAAACTATCTACTAAATAGGGCATATGAGTTAAGACAGGAACAAGAGTACGAAATAAAACAATGCAATTCGTTAATATTGAGTACCAAATGTCATGCAATAAGGTGTGCACAAATTGAAGAAAAAGAACTTATAAAGTGAGTAGGTAATATAACTTGACAGCACTAAATCATTATTTCTAAACAGTTTTGTTTCAGAAATATACTATTATAAATTATAAAACGCTAAGACTTACTAAAAGTTTAATGAGTCAAAAACCGTTGATGGTGAATTGGTTTTTTGTAAACATAAATTCAAAGACAGAATAATAGATATAAATAATATAAATTTACAAAAAAAATGTTATTATAAACATATATTTTAATTCACATTTACCAAAAATGACAAATCATTAAAATTCGTTTTAGAAAAGAAATGAAGCAAGAACAACGCAGATCGGAGGAAATCATGGAACAACAGCGTTTATTGGCAGCTAAACAGTATGAAAAGGCAGTAGAAGCTGACAGACTAAAAAAAAAATTACAAGCAACAGAAATTGTACAACAAATGAAAGAAAATGAGATCACTAGAGATTGGGAAGCTGCTATAGCTTCAGAAGTACCTATAATTAATGATCAATTATCTTATGTATGTGCTATAATTATTCATTTAGGATGCAAGGATTCGTACAGAAGCTAGAATTGAGGCTCAACGGGCTGAAGTGATAGATTACAAGAATAAATTGTTAAAACAAGCCCAGATGAGAAAAGAATTCTTACAAATTAATGCGCAACTCAAAGATTTAAAATCAATTGAAAAAGAATTAGGCAAAGTTGAAATCCTGCAGGTAAGTTTGTATAAACATATATGAGTTATAGGTATATTATGTTAAAAGCAGTTAGGTTGTATCTACATACATTTTGCAGCGCTATAATTATATTATTTCCAATATAATTTACTAAAACTAAATGTTTTTATCCCCTCACAACCGAAACAAATAATTCTACTTAAATTCAAATTTATTTTGGTTTCCATACGTAGATACAAGCATATGATCGAAAAAAGAATGAACGGGAAATGGCATACGAAGAAGAGGCGATGAAACTCAAAATKTCTAAAGAAAAAGAAATCGCCAAAATTCAAGCAAATCAAAAGGCCACACAAGATTTTCAGGCCGCAAAGGATGAACTAACCGCACTACGAACACAAGACAAAGTAATTTTATTAATAACTTAAATGAAAAGTGTTACACAGAGCAAGTTGATCCGTAGGTAGAACGAGAGTGGCGACGTAAGGAACGCGAAGAGGCTTTAAGAAAAATAAAACAAAACGAAGATTTGAAGGAAGCTCGTCGACAGCAAATTGAAGGACAAAGAGAATTTTATGCTTTTGAAATACAGAGGGAAAAAGAAGAGTTTGACAAAATTATTAAAATCAACGTAGAGGAAATGGAAAAAACCAAAGAATTTGATAGACAAACTAAAATGGTATGATTCTGTTGATTGAAATTATTACTCAATTTAATTTTATTCACAACCTTATGTCTTTGAAATCAGAAACTCAATGAACACAGGAGAAGTTTAYTGAAGCAGATTAGTGAAAAAGAATTGGAAAGAATCAAGGAAAGAAAAGAATTTTTCCAGGAAGGTATCAAATTCCAACAAACTGAATCTGATAGGGAAAAATCATTACGTAAAACWATAAATAAGAAAATCGAAGGACTTAGGTAAAATAGAGTTAAATATTTATAATTAATTTTAAATATTATTATGTCCATATTGTTGTTTTAGGACACATAAATTACCAATGAAGTATATACGAGGCGTCGAGAGGCAATTAAAATTAAGAGACTGATATTTTAACAATTTGTATTGTAAAAATACGTTTTAATTCATGAAATACTGTTATTGATGACTAAAATTATTCATAAACGAAAAATAAAATGAATTGCAAACTATACGATAAAATATATTATCATATAGATATTTGTCATAGGGGAAACTGTATAATATGATGTGACTCCTAACTTTAATTTCATTTTAGAGGGTTATTATTTTATTTTATGGAGAAAATAATAACTAACATCGGGGAAACTAGAAAATAACTATTTTTCTGTATTCGGAAGTGYTAAATTTATTTACAGGGCTTCGGCCCCGCTTATATTTTAGATCTAATTKCACTAATAGCAACTAAGCATACAATTTAAATTATAGTTCAATATAAGTTCAAAACGTTTTATTATTTTAATAATCTTAACTAAAAAAATATCTCCTTACAGRTTTGTACTATCACTTCTACATTCAAAATCAATTTAAAATTAGATTTCTTCTTTTAATGGAGAACCAAGATTTCTCCATGAAGTTTTGAGAGCATTAGATACATTGCATCCACAAGACATGCATTGTAATTTAACTTTCGATGCAATGTCTATAATAATAGGTAATCTGGAATGATAAAGATGATAAATTTGTTGGTTACTGTGATTTTGGTAATGATCTAAACCTCGAAGGAAATCAAGTGGRAGCAACATASGTATTAGTGTTTTTGCTAATAAGCTTAAACGAAAAATGAAAGCTTCCAATTGTTTATTTCTTTCAAAACATAACCTAATCTCAAGTAAAGGCTGAACTTATTATCAATTMTGCATTAAAACTTACTTATAATATAGGAAATAGGTATCACACTATGGGGGATTGTATGTGATGGAGCATACACAAATATATCTATAATGAAMATTTTAGGATATAAAATAAATGTAGATAATATATTATATAATGGTTCCTAGGTCCGCCACAAATTGTAAGTGAGAAAAAATATTTTTAAGAATGTTCTCTCTCTTAAATGGGGTACTATTTAAGATCATGTTCAAAGTTCAAATAAAATCTTTATATAATAGAAATATTTATTATCTATGACAGAATTATCGATATRCATAAATAGTTTAAAACAAGTTAAATAGGTTAAATAAATTAAAATAATTATCAAGTATTGTTTTTTGTCAAATATTAGTAGTWTAATTCAAATGACAAATACTGTTCGTTTGCGTGTGAATGATATTTACTCCATATAACCTCAAAATTTTCATTAATACAGGAATGCACGATAAGCTACAATAGCCTTTTTTTTTGTCCTGTTTAAAAGTCTGGAATGGGTGGGAATTGTTCATCACAATACTGCTACCAAGCTCCAATAGCCTATCCTTTTACGAATGGATTTTCACAGGAAAACATTTTTCGTGTCAACATATAATATTGCAATGTTTGGCCCTTTTTTCTGTAGCTAATATAATGTGATAACATTGATAAAATTATACCATAATATTTTCATCATAATTAATAATATAAAATAATATATTTCATTACAATCAGATTTAAAGGAATTATTAATTATTAAATTTAAATTTAAATTTAATTAATTAAATATAATATGATCGTTGTTTTAAATATAATAATAAACAATTCGTAAATTCGTTAGAAAAAACAGCAGAAAATGTGTATAGTCGTAACAAACTAGATAGTTAAAATAAAATTATTTTTCCGTTTATTAAAGATCAAATTAAATTTTATAATAGTTAAAATTAAATGTTAAACGCAAGATATAAGTACTATCCATAGGATTATATAGAATACCATAAAAGTATAAAGCCAAAACTAATAAAATAAAGATAACATTTTTATTACTTTCATATTTTTCCATACTTCAAAGTTCAAGATTCTATGTTTTAATCTTTATTAAACGAGAAGGATAAATTACAATCAATTAATTGTAAAATACAACAATACTCATTTATGACACCAAAATTAAATTGGAAAATTTAGGTTTACTACAGCTGATAGAGCACAATTGACAGGTAGCTATATTATTTTATTTTATATAATACTTTAGATCCATCTATATTAGTTTCTATTTAGAGGGTATTAAATTATGTTCAAGATTCACAGCATTGGGTTATTTACATTATGAGTGTTGAATTATGGGCTCAACAATCAGTAAAAGTTATTAATAACCCAATTTTGTATTTTAAACACCAAGGAAAACTGGACAAGATGATATTGCAATAAATTTAGGGAATGATAATTTTTGTGTTTGGAAATGACAAAATCTGTGTTGATGACACCCATGTTCTAACCAATAGTTACAGTTAATAACAAAATATAATATTAAACCTAATTATAACCAGAGAAGTGAATATTGTCTAAAGTGATTGTGTTATTGTTTTTATCAAAGCTATCACATTATATTAGCTGCAGAAAAGGGGCYAAATATAGGCAATATTATACACGTTCACAAACATTTTTTTCCTGCGAAGATCTATTCGTATCCATCTCTATATTATCTATACTTTTAGTAAATGGTGGCTTGGCATTATTTATAAAGTTGGGGTCGGCAATCTAGTTACTAATACAAAAAAAAAATTCGTATTGTTTTATAATATATTAATTTTGTGTTTTTTAAGCATGAATAACTTTTTTTGTAGTTCTGATATCAAAAAAATAAAAACGATATTGCGCAGACAAAATTCTTCTTTTTATGTGGTGAAAATTTCGTTTCTAGTTATAACTGTAGTCTGTAGGTAGCTTTCTCGGCTCTCTCCCGCGTGACAGTTTTTGCAATGTTACGCATTCGTAAGACGGAGACAACAAATGCGGGTGTAACGTCCTCTTAAATATAAGATTACACTCTTATAGCAAAATATTAAATTCTTCAATAATGAAGGTGGCTAGCAAAAGACAAAAGCTTCATAAAACTATTTTATTTTACAACTTGTGTTATCAGAATTATAACATGATAAGATACAAATGACCAACTATATAGTAATGGCGGATGTGTGGCTTCAAACGTTTATGTGGTTACCACGAACTACTACTACATAAAACTTAGGACTGGACACTCCAGGCAGGGAGTGGGTTGAACACCGGTCACAAAGTTGTACGAGTGCGTACGTTTGCGACTGTGATGCTATCTAGTGACGTTCTAGATTACTTAACTTTTATGAACATATTGTATTATAGAGTTGGCGGTAGGTTACATAATATGACATTGTGGAAATACAGACAACATAAGCATTTAAAGTTAACTGAGTTTTCAGTTTCCGATTTTCACTTTTTAAATTAATATTGTTATGGTAGGCTCCTACAATGTTATTATAAGAAATATTATAAATATATATGATATGAGGCTAAACAAATAAAGGAATTATCAATGGTATGTATATGAAATAATAATAATTTAAAGCCTTAAATGTATTATTATTTGATCCATTAAAATATGTATAAAAATATTTATCTAACTGTTCTCCTTTCATAAAATATCACATACAATTATTAGATAATGCGGTTCTTTCTGATTTAATCTGCCAAAGTTTAATAAAAGTCTGAATACAACTTTTTATACAATCATAAATGCGTCTGGTTTTATCCAGTAGATGGCGTATAATATGTCTTTTAAAATAGGAACATTGACATTATTATAATCAGAAAAACAGGTATATCTTTAAAAGTGTCATAATAATATTACCTACAGTATAGTACCTAATTCAGTTTTTATTCACATTTTATTTTCTGAACGACACAATTCATAAAATAATAGAAAGTTAAATAACTAAGAGCAACATAAATATATACAATATAGATAGGTACATTAGATGTAAAGGGAGACAAGACGTCTCGTCTTGGTATCGTTTTTTATCGTATGACGTATAGTATATACAATTATGTATTTTATTATTGAATTCAAGTATAAATACAGCATAATATGTCCTATTCAATGACGAAGTATAGGTACTCAAATCTTTCTACATGGCAAAATGAATTGCCCTATTTTATATAAACTCATTTTCTTAGGGACCAAGAAAAAGTCACATGACTGTAACAGGCCGGCATTACCTTTCAAGTGCAACTATAGAAACTAAATAAAATGCATTGAACAACTAATATTACAAGCAGTATTTTCCAATTGATATTACTGTATTACCGATTTTAATTTGTATTAGAATAATTATAAATATTTTTATAAATTCATTTCAATCTTGGCTAGGACAATGTTAAATTTATATATTTTTTCACAATAAAGTATTTTTAATATTTTTAATG